ACGAAACCTTAAAAAGGTATATAGATGGTGACAAATGTTTAAACCCTTTTTAGGTTCGGTAGAGTACCTTTTTTTTTAGAGAGCAAAACCACGCTTTTCTTCAAACCTTACTTCGGAGCCTTTTAGAAAAAACTAAGTGAGCCAAAGAAAGAGCATAGTCTAAAACCTCTATATCCTGAGTTTTATGTCGATTGACTCAGCCGTTACGTTATTGAGTTAGCATTCTCATGTAACACGCCTATTGAATATTGTTCACAAAAAGATCTACATTGACTATCAGTCAGTTGTTGCAGAACAAAACTCACTTTTTCATTAAAAGAAAATCGTTCGTTCCTAGGGGAACTACTTGTAAAAGAGTAATTGTATGGACTGAATTGTTTTCAGTTCCACTAATCTTAAGAGAGAAAGTTTCTGCTCCGGAGAAATGTATGTTTTTGGATTAAACTCCGGTCTGCAATAATGTTTTTGGATCAAACTCTTTTTCCTATATATAACACCACTCCAAAAAAATAAGCGAGTCATCTAATAAGTTAAGTTTTTCTTTCTATTCTCTTTATTATCTTTACTACGAACAAATACGAAAGACATTATTGTATGAGAATATCTCAAGCAGTTTTTTCGAAGTTATTGTGCCTACAGATTTATCGATACGTAAAGCAGTGAGTTACAAATTTTGCAATTTTAAAAGTCTCAGACGGGTTATTCCGTCTAAAGTAGATTTTTTCAAGACTTCTAAAATCTTAACTAGAAACAAATATTGCCACGCGACTCAGCGTAATCGATAGACCAGTTGCATGTGTGCTTCCTACAGGTTGTTTCACGCTAGTCCATGCGCACCGAGGAAAGTCGGATGGATTCTCCAAAAATTCTCTAAAAATTCGAGCATTTTTAAACTTTTCCTATTATAAATCAACGTCGCTAAGTCGTGGTTATCGAATGAGAGAGAGAGTAGGCTGCCATCGTCCAAAGTTATTTTTTCAAAATACTGTATTGTTCATTCTATATTGAAATGTGTAGTAGTTCACACTATTCTTTTATGTGGAAAAATATGATGGCATACGTTGTGAACCAAATTTTCAAGAGACTTTTGTGTGCCAAAAAAATAATATTCTTTTTATGTTTCTTGTCTATATACTTTCTAACTACTCATACTCAAATAGCGACAAAAGAGAGAAATGCGTTAATATCACTTTTAAAAAGAATGTGTTGTTTCTAATTTTCTTAAGAATACACGTGCACCCGTACTTCATATTTTTTTATTTCTCCTACGTCATATGATAATTTTTAAATGATGCGCGCTACTCAACTGTTTACTTGATGATGAATAATCAGATAGTGACAAACTCACTGGCTTCCCACATCTGGATATATAACTTCTTAGAATAAAAGAAACTTTTAAATCACCAGTTTTAATTATTTAAGAGTATGTATCCCTATCAAAATAATTCTCAGCCGTATGGTTCTGGCTATGGATTAGATCCTAATCAATCGTCCGGATTCGGATATCCTTCTTACCCAAACAACAACCAAGGAGCTCCGTACCCTCCAAGTGGACCAGGATATCCTACGAATCAAAACTCCATTCCAGGTTACGTTCCACAATATCCTGGAGCTTACAGCGGAACACCAGTTTATCAACAAAGCACACCTTACCCACCGGCTGATAATCGACCTTATAATCAGTATGGAAGTGGTATACCACCTCCAGTACAACCTTCATACAATCCCACTCCATCTTTTGGCTCATTGTATGAAACACCATATGGCGGATCGAATTCTACTTTTTCTGCGAATAACAATACATCGCCGTACCCAAACACCCACGGTTCGTCACCATTATTAAAGCATAATATAAGTTCTTGATTGAAGAAACTGAGAGAAAAAAAAGTCAATTTTTTGAAGAAGTGCAAGATTCAGACAAGAAATGTAGAAAAAAACATACTAAAGTTTTTACTTATATTATTTTTGTTAAGATTACAATGCTCAGTCACAGCCGATGTCTGGCAGTATGTATCCAAATTTACAATCTCAGAATTCATATCCATCCGCTTCATATGTATGAAATACAGTTTTTGTAATTCTTACACTCAAGCCATTATCATCATATTCATTATACTGTATAGGTGAATAGCGGTGTGGTATTTCAACAGATCGAACAACAGCCATCGATTATGTTAGCAAGTTTAGAGCAATACCAAGGCACAATACGTCCGTTTCAGACGTTTAATGCTGATGCAGATTGTCGAGCACTAAGACAAGCTATGCGAGGAGCGGGAACGGACGAAAATGCCATTATTCAAATTATTGCAAATAGATCCAACGCACAGCGACAACAAATTAAACTCGAATGGAAAACACAATATGGATCAGCAAGTATTTTTGATACTAAAAAAACGGAGAATGTCATCAATTAGTATTTCATTTTTTTAGGATTTAGAGAAAGATTTAGAAAAAGAACTGAGTGGAAATTTTAAAGAAACAATAATGGCTTTATTTACTATTCCACATTATTATGAAGCATGGACCTGTCACCAGGCTTTGCGTGTAAATATCAAATCTGTGCGGTTACTTCTATAAATTCTCAAACAGTATGAGATTTTCAATGGTTCAAATACCATTCTATCGATTCTCTCATTATAAAAGTCGCATACAGTACTAGCTAAAAAATTTCCTGTTCCTCAATTTTGACAGTCCACTGTGAAGTTTGACTTTTGGCTATAACATGTACATGCAGATTAAAATGTACATACTCTGTTAGAGAGAGAGAAAGATCATTACTCTTTCTCATTACTCTTCTGGGTTATGTCTTCATTCACTTTCACGCTTAGAAATGCACTCAGAATGTTATAATCTTGTTCTCATAGTTTGTAAACTGAAATTTTCTCTTCAAAACGTAAATAATTAATAATCTTTGTTTTATCACATATACAGACATGTACATTTTAATCAATCGGATAGATAAATTTTAATTTTTACTAATGGAGGTTAAAATTCCAGTGAATATCAGTTTTACCTGTAATATAAACTTACATATATCTTCAAAGTTTTAATGCAAACGTGTTTTGCACTCTTTAGATCATTCGTTCCAATTATGCTTTCTAAATTTACATACTCGAACTAAAAATTCTATCGTATTGAAAATATAACGAAATTTGTTAGATGATCAGAACATTGCTTAGACTATATCAAAAATACCATATTTCAAGTGAATAATTATCAATAATCCCTTGCTATTTAGAAGTCAAAATATTTTTAGCTATTTGTACTATAATAATAATAATAATAATAATAATAATAATAAACTATTTTCTTTTTCTTTCAAATATAGTGTTAGAACTAAAATCACAAATCGTTATTGCTTGTTTCTTTTAGGCAAGTAAAGAGGGTGCACTTCGAGAAATATTGTTAACACGGACAAATGCTGAAATTCGTGCCATTGTTGCTGAATATAAACGAGGTTAGTCACCAGACTCTATTGTTTATAATCTAAACAATTATTATATCGTCATTACAGTATATCAAAAGGATTTGGAGAATGAAATCAGTCAAAGATTAAGTGGTGATTTCAAACGTCTATTAATATCAGCAGTTCAAGTACAAAAAAGCAACTGAATCACCTTTTTGTTATACATTTATTCTATTTAGGCAAATCGTGAAGAATTATCACCACAACAAATTCAACAAGCAAGACAATCTGGTATTGAAAGTGTTATTAATCGGTAGGTACTATGATGCGTTAAAAATCAACGTGCGACAAAAAAAAATCGCAATTATTTATTCTTTTGACAAAATGAGCTGTTAGCCAGTGGATAGTCTCAGATAACAGTTGATCTTGACGTTTAGTTCAACAAAAATAAATTCTGATTTTCAACTCATTTCTCTATTTGTTTAACAAATATCTTGTATTTTATGCTTTCCATAAACATTGATGGAATTTATGTTTATCAATTTGAATATTCTAATCTCTTATTAGTAAATATATCAATTATTTCAGGGAACAAGCAAGACAAGATGCAGAAGAATTGTATCGGGCAGGAGCGGCAAAAATTGGTACTGATGAAAAAACATTTAATGCAATATTTTCTCGTCGAAGTTATTATCAATTACGAGCTATATTTGAAGAATATCAAAAGGTATAATCAAAACACTATTGATAAAGTCTTATTTTTAATTAAAATATTTTTAGAAACATCGTAAAGATATCATGAAAGTTATTGAAAGTGAATTTTCTGGACATATTAAAGAGTCGTATAAAACATTGAGTAAGTACTAATTAAAAAGAAGAAAAAAAATCTGAATACTGATTTAATAAGATTATACTATATTCTTTTAGTTTTATGTATTCGTGATCGTCCATGCTTTTTTGCTGATCGACTTCATCATGCTCTAAGCGGTCTAGGTACAAAAGATTCAACATTAATACGTGTGATTGTTACACGTTCAGAAATTGATCTTGTTCAAATTAAAGAACGTTATCAACAAATGTTTAAACGAAGTTTAGCACAAGCTGTTGCTTCCGATACATCGGGTGATTATAAAAAGATTCTATTAGCAATTATTCAATAAATAAATTATACTCAATATATAACAAATTTATTGCTGATATACAAAAAGTATTGTATTATTTCTAAAGTACTTTTTATATTGATTATTTTTATTTGTGAATATATAAGAAAAAAAAAGAAATATTAACAAATAATCTCTTCTTACCTACACAATAAAATCACAATTCATAAACTTAGTCACATTTTAAAATAGATCAATTCTTTTTCTCTTTTTCTTCTCTTCTATTGTCATAGTAATGAATGATGAAGAAAATATTTTTTCATCTTCAAAATATCCTTTAAATCTAAATCGATCATTAATTAATTGTGCATTTTTGAACAATAATGGCAACATTCTAGTACGATTACAACAATCATCATTTTTTCGTCAATTTTCATTGTTTAACAATGATGATGATAATCTAACAGTAAGAGATTCTCGAGCAACCTATGAATCAATAAAATCATCGACACATGAGATAGAAACATTTCGAGAAACGAAAGATGTACCATTACATTTTTCATCAACAGATATACAATGTGGTAAAACAATTACGTGTAATACTGACATGGTTAATTTTTTATCGAATAAAATTTCATCATCCTATTGGAAAGAACGTCAGTCAAAGAGTGATCTAGAAAAAGCACATGAAAAACTAATAAATTTACGTACAATGTTGCAAAGTATGAATAATAATTATGTCATGGTCTATTCAACATTGGTTGAACATAGAATAATATTGACGAATATATGTCGAGAAACACAGACAACATTATTAACAGCATATAGAGCAGAAGAAAATGAAAGAATAAAACAATTTTATTTGAAAAAACAACGAGAATTACGAAGAAGAAATCAAATGTTTATTGTTATCATATTGTGCACAATTCTATTTGTATGCACAACTGCAATTATTTGGCGATTTAATAGTAACTAATAATAATAATGTATATTTGGCAAAAGTACTAGAAAATCTTGTTGGAAACAAAAACTATTCATATTCTGCGATATCACTATAGTGAATGATGCAATATATTTATTTCAACAAAAAAAATAGATAGAATAATACATAATCAAAACTGAAGGAAGTTCTCTTATCCAACAACAGTCGTTGTTGTAACAGCGGCTAATAATTGCGCAGCTACGCTGTTTAAATCAGGATTATTTGTTATCGCCTCGTACGTTTGTTGATTCAGTGAACCTAAAATAATTAAACGACGGTTCACTAAGCTTCTAAGATTCTTATGAAAAATTCAGAATACCTGTAACAGTAACACCTAATAAGGTTTGTAATGCACTCCAAGCTGCAGCCAAACCATTTTGTGAGCAAACAGCTTGAAAAGCACTTGCTAACTGAGGTTGATTTAACCATTGTGCGAAGAGGACTTGAGGTCGACTACATCTTCTACGTCTGAAATATGAATAAAGTTTTATGTAGTATTTTCTTTCGAGAGTTAACTTTTAAGTCCACTTGAATTACTTACCCGCCGCCATGACCGCTCCCATGTCCGCTGCCGTGACCGCCCCCATGACCTCCCCCGTGTCCGCCACCCCGACCTCCGTGTCCTTTCCTGACTATTTCATAGAGCGTATCTTCATCGCTGTCCAATGAACGTTCAACTTGATAGCCATTCAGTTGAATAATTATACATGCTATTACAAAACCGCAAAGTAAAATAGAATACTTCATGTTTGTTTTCCTTGTAATTCGGTTTAGAAATAGTTTTTTGGATGGATTTTTTTCTAATATATATAGGTGAGAATGTTTTCCGTTGGATTGAAATATTCTTTAGTAATCGCAATAATTGCATAGCATTTAACATAGGATATTTTGAATAGCATGCAAGTCAATAGTAGTTTTCATTCTCAAAGATTAGTTTAGATCATTAAGCTTAGTTTTACAAAGAGAAAAAAACATGTACTTATTGAAAAGAGCACGACCTTAGAAGAAATATATCACAGCCACTCTTCAACGCTAGCACACGATCATGCCAACATTCAACATCTTTTGGGTACAATCAACAAACTACACACATAATTACTAATATCTCAATATTGATCTTTTCTATTAGATATTTTGCATCAGTTTTTTTTGTACCTGTCGCCTTACAGTACGAAGAAGTTACTTCAAAGAGACTCAATAAGAATAATACCAAACATTTTTTCCCTCATCAATAAAGTCTATGTAGTTTGCAACGACAGAACGATGCTTATTGTCCAACGGACAACATCACTTTACTAGAGGTCCAATAACCCTGAAAAGGTTTAATGAGCTCTCACTCTGTTATACAACAATTATTGATCTAAAATTTAATTTAACTAAACAATCAATCAACCTTGACGGCACAGAAAATTTGTTGTATAAATGTGATGTGGACGTGATGGTCAAACTAATATTTCATGAAATAGATTTTTGTGCAAAGAATATATCAACTTTTCTTTTTATCGTTTCGTGTAGTCTGTCGGGAAGAGTTAATTCATCAACTAATTGGGAATCAAAATAAAATCATTCATTGTCTGCATATCCGAGTGAAATGTCATTTCAACCGATTATGTCATTGCGATTAGCAGCTGAAAGAGCAATCATGTTCAGAATTGTTTACTTGAGACGAAAAATATCAGTTTATCAGTATTGTATCAATGTGCAAATGAATCAAGTTTAATGATATTTTAAGAACTATTTCATCAAGTGTATTTTCGTTCCATCGTATGGCGAATAAGTTCTCTCTTGAACTGGTAACATAATCCTCTTACGTGGAAATGAACCTGTTCGTTTAACAACAAATTTAGTAAGTTATTTTATAATTAAAACATTTTTAAACAATATTTTGAAAAGCATTGAATGCTTTTCATATATCGAATCGATATATTATAGCAGGGATTATCACGAAGGCGTTAAACGACACATAGTATTATATCCGATTTCCCGTTCATTGAACGTCACGGAGTTTTTGTGATGATCGCTAACGTGGTATCAGCACTTGTCAGTTAATCTCATATAATGCATGAGCAAAATTGTAAGACGAAATTGATCGCGAGTGAATTAAATGAACAATTTTTCCGCATCTTAGTGTATATGATTGCTACACGAGTGTCTTATTCGTGGTGTTTCATATCAATATGAAAAACTGTATTAGCAATATGCATTCAGTACAAAATAGATTCAACACTTTGCTATTTACGCATCCAAGGCCGCACGACTGAATGCAAACAGTGAAGACTTTAATTCACATGTACGACATCATATTGAACCACAAGATGTACATACCAATTCAATCATAGTACATTACATTACTCCTCTTCTAATAGATTGACAAAAATCAACTGTAAATAAAATAATGCAGTTTAGCAGAAATACCAAATTTATCACACTGTACGATTTTTGATATGAGTAACTTTTTCTATATAACTAATCCATAAAGTAATATCATAACTCATCAATTGAAAACAAGAACAGATAATATTGAAGTTTTAATCTTAATACTATTTATTGTGTTCTGTGATACAATGATTTTGACTTTTTGAATATTTTAGTTTTGGGCGAAAATGTCCAAAAATGGTTTATTCTATGTACTATAAATTTTTGCTAGATTCCTGAATTTTCTTCTGAAAACAAACACTACCATGTGATAGAGCATAGTCGAAAGCATCTGTTTCAATGTGTTTTGGAGATTCCCAAACGAAGCTTCAGATAGTTCTAGGACTTCCAGCAAAACCCGATCCTCTAGCCAAGACAGATGGGTACCTCTTTCTTTTATAGATTTGTAGAGGATGCTATGAGCTATCATTTGTATATTTCAGACTTAGGGGGCACTATGGGACATTAATTCGTGCAATCTGCTCTTTCAAAGACTTGGCAGGTACACCACCTGTATTGCGAAAAAAAGTGCCCTTTGGTGAGGTTTAGGGCACATTAAAATGCCCTGCTTTTTGTTTTCACGTTGACTGCGGCGCACTTGGGACACTTTCATGTGCCCTGAACCTCACCAAAGGGCACTTTTTTTCGCAGTGTACAGCTGATACTTTCAGCTCTTTCTTTATACATTTATTCCGTTACCTTTTCGCTACACAGTGGTGAAATTTGCAGATTTTTGTCTCTTTTCGTTCAATAGCTATCACAGAATAATCAAGAGAGTTGCTTTTTGAATTTGACAGTAGTGATATGGGAATTTGTTCCGCACATCAATATAAAGCGGCGATGTTGATTTAATGGGGATACAGAATTTATATAAATTTATAATTTTCAACCTATTTTTACAAACCTTTCATTAATGAATAGGAAGTCACAGTGACGCACGTTGAACACTGAAAATGTACACGATACATAATATTTGTCACAAAATGAGCAAAAAGAAAAACGTTCTGTTATGAAAAAATAAAAAGTGTGTATGTCTTTGATAATTACACAAAAAAGTTTTTTAAAAGTACATCCAAATACAAAAATGGTTTGAATATCAATCAACGACGTCGTCTAATACGAACAACTCTAACATCACTACAAATTTGTAATCTGTATATAAACTGTTCTAGTTATTTTGTACCATTTTGTGTGTCGTTTCCAAAATGAGACGAGTGATAACGTCAGTGATATACAATGGGAACTGGTAATAATTTAGTTGGTAAAACTAATTCAACCGGTTTTGAAGGATAACACAAATCGTCTTTTGAACGATTATCCATTGACGGTTTATCTGGTCTATACGCAGTACCAGTTTTTGCACTTTGAACAGCGAAAGTTTCGTTAGAAGAACGTATGCAAAAAAAGCTAATCTGAACTTACCTATACCATTTTCTCACTGGATGTTGATGGGAAATACCTGCATGTTCGAGTTCATAAGTTAATTTTTCCTGATAGGCTACTTCTGCTTGCATACATTCCATATATTCACGTTGATTTTCGTGTACTTCCTTAAAATAAAAACAGAAGCACGTGAGACAAAGCTTGTTTTCGTATAATGATTATAAATTATTTACTTCTTCTTGTCGACGTTTTCCATAGTCTAATTGTCCAAGAAGATTTTGCCGATATGTTATTTGTTTCATCCGATTTTTTGTTAATCTTTCTGCTTCTTCTTGCTTAACTTGTTCAACAACATTTTTCATGTTCTCTTTTTCCCAATTAAAATCGTCTTTTTCCTCGGCTTTTCGTCTTACTAAAAAAATGAATAGATTAATTAAAGGAAGAAATTAAAAAAAGCATCTTTTATACTTTTTTCTGTTAATTGCTGTTGTCGCCCTTCGATAACTTGTTTTAATAATAATTCTCGCTTCCCACGTTCAACTTTAATAGATTCTAAACGTTTAGCGTGTTGTTTTTCTAACTCTTGGTGTAAAACTTTTTCTAATTCAATTTCTTTCATTTTTTCGTCTAGTTTTCGTTGCTCTAAATATTCACGATAACGTTGTCCTTCTTCACGCAATTCAGACTAAAAATAAAATACTTCAGTTAAGAAAATACTTGAATTCTAAGTAGTTGACGAGATGATCGCTCGCCTGCTGGATGCTCTTTTCTTCCATGGGAAAGAGTTCTAGACGTGCGGCTGATTTACCATTCGTTTTAGTTTTTGATCCTCGTCACTTTTTGCAACTTGATTTGTTTCTTCAATTAATTTTTGTTCTAAGGCTAATTCTTCTTTTGCTTTACGTTCTTGTACTTTTTGTTTGGTTCTAAAAGTGATTACGATGCATAAATAAGCATTCATATAGGATATTTGACCTACCTCATGACAGCATCAAGCACTTTTCTTTGTTCTTCTTGCTTTCTCATTTTCTCTTGATGTTCAGTAATTTTTTCTTCTTTTTGTTGACGATAGAGGGTCCACTATGTAAAAAAAGAAATTACGAGATAAATGTTTTCCTTTTGCAATGAAAAAATTCTACTTACAGCAGCTTCTGAATGTTCTTTTCTCTTTGCTTTCATTTCGTTTTTTTCAGCTTCAGCAGCTTTGAGCTGTTGTTGAAGGATATTCGACATACTTTGGCTTTTAAATCGGGCTTGTTCTTCATCACGTTCTTCACGATTCTTTTTAGTTGCTATGTCTTTATACCATAACTGAGTAAAAAAGTCATCTTCTGCCTTGAAAAAACAGAAAAAATGTTCATAATATGAATATAAATAAAAATTCTAATTGACAAACGTTCACCTTTTTATCTTTTTGTCTATCGATTTTCTCTTTCATTTGCCATAAATGTTCGTTTCCCAATTCATTGTTCAACCCTTTAGATTGAAGTTCGCGTAATTCAGCACAATCTCGACTGTAAATTGAGAAAAAAGCAACTTATATTGTGCGTGACAAGTCTCACAAAGCTAAGCATACCGAAATCGTTGATCAAGTTTTTCTTGTACAATTCGCTGATGTTCATTTTCTTTTTCTTCACGAATCTTTTTCGCTTTTTGTCTCATTTTTGATATTCGTTGAGGAAGTGTTTCTTTGGATGCTGCTGCTTCTTGCATATATTGAGCTTCTTCACACGATAATAATTCACGTAATCTAAACTTGAGGAAACAACATCAATAAAAATATTTCAAAAAATGCGTTGATATCTCTCATTTACCGTTCCCGGCGCTCTTCTAATTGATGGCTAACGCCATTCAATCGACGTTGAACTTCTCGTCGAACTTCAGCATGAAAAGCTTTTCCAGATGATAACTGCTCAAATTCAATTTTATTTAGTTCACGTTTGGCTGAACGATTTTGCTTGTCAAGAGTTAATCGGATATTTTCATTTTCTCGATTTTGAGTCACAATATTTTTATTTGGTCGATACGGACGTTCAAGCTAAATATGAATTTATGAAAGATGACTTCCATTATTCAGCTGGTATGTATAGGTGAACGTACTAGACCAAATTGTCCTGGTTGCGGACCCGGTATATCTCTTATTCGTGGAAAAGCATAATGAATTGCTGTAGCCATGGACTAATAATCTAAATGGAATGAAATAAACGAAAACTAGTTTTAGAAAGAAAGCTATGATTATTACATTTAATGATTATCTGCTTCTGTTTATCAGGCTAAGTCAGAAGGTAAACAAATCAACATAATATCGAAACTGTTTCTTAGTCGAAAAGTATCGACCATTGTAATATTCTCATTGATAAAATCTCTAAGCAACGTTAGTCTATGAAATGGGAGTACTATTGAATTGTTCGTTTTTGGCCAAACTAATTTGTTTGACATGAAGATTCAGCAAAAGGTATTCGATAGGTTTCGCTATATTATTCGCAGATTTCTAATTTATTAGTGACATCTAACTTTTAACTTTGATGAACGTGTTGCTGAGAAACGAGTTTTTTAGTTAAATAAGATAGTATAGTTTCTTACCGTTTGTCATTAGCATACAGATCTGTTAAGAATTCTGTTAGAAAAATGGCCTGGAAAATAATCTGCTTTTTCTTGTCGGTGGTTTTAACGACAATAGATTACATCATCCCAACTTACGTAAAACTACGAGCAGATTTTTACAATTTTTTTCACAAGGAATCCTTATTTACAAACTAATATAAAAAATTAATAACGTCTTCTCAGGTAGATCATTCAGACCGATTCAACATTAGAATCATGAGAAAAAAGGTCGATCGATTCTAACGGTTAGAATCGGTCAGAATTTTTGTTGATTTCTGATAGAAAAAAAAAACGCTCGCAAATGACGAAAATAAAACGAGTCTGACCGGTATCTTGTTGACAAATTTATCAGAGAAATGACAGGAGGAAATTTGACCTTGATCCCTCCTATAGTTTTCTACTTTCGAATACAAGATCTATCGGTTTCAGATAGATAAAACAACTTACCATAATTCTTTTGCGCACTTCGATAGAAAAAACACTTCGTCAACCAGATAAGTCTCTCACTTCAGTATAATATTTTAATGTTAAGATGCCTTTTATCGAAATAAAATTTTTAATTTTTAGTGAGCTCACTTTTAAGGTAGCTCCTTGATATCATGACAAGAAGAACAACTAGTAATTCCTCAGTCATAAGCAATAAAACTTTACTAAAAATATTGCAAAGAATGCAACAACTATAAATGCTAGTTGACGAAAAATCATTACTACCAACTACAACAATATGGAAAAAACCAACGACGCAATGTACTAGCAGGTCAATAACAGTAAAAACTGATACGAAAACCATTGTTAATTGCACTTTAGCATAAGCAAATCCAAAATACAATGAGAAGTTTAATGGAAATCCTACAAAAAAGAACGTCTGCAACATGTAAGGAGAAAAGTACAGTAGACAATCTAAGTAAATCTCCAGGAAACATCGAGACATACTTCTGGTGAGCTGCGACAGGAAAACTGCTGGGAAAAGCCTGTCCGAATTTTGAAAAAAACGGCAGACATGCTGATGCTTGTTTAGGCAATCAAGAATAATAAGATTAATTTCTAAAACGAGAATTTGAAATTCACAAAAAAATAAACACGAGAGTAAAGTTCAACGAAGAAAATCGATTGATATACGATAAATATGCATGCAAAAAATGGATCAATTTAAAAACCGACTGTAAAGACAGCTGCTAAAACTAACAGAAAACAGTCAGAAAAATCGAAAAATATTAAAAGTTATATAAGTCATCATTTATTCACGTATCAAGACATTTTTCACGTTTCTTTGTATTAAGGTGGTAATTCAGAATTTGTTTGACTCATAATGTGCGTGATATTTCTTTCAAGATCATCAATTCGTTTCCCCATTTCATCGACTGAATAAAAATTATAGTTAAGAAAAACAAATAGAAATAAGGTTTTATAAAAATTTCACACGCTTTAGTTTAAAAAAGGATACTTCGTGTCATTATTGAATCGGACATTTGTGAAAATTTATCTTGCACTTGTTCAAGTGTCTTCTGAACCTAGAAGAAGGAGAAATAAATCCTCGATTATGCAGATGAAACTGACATGTATACAAAAATACCAAGTTTACAAGTTCTTGGGCATTTTTTGGCTCTTGTATAGATGAATAATCTTTCAGATTGGTCGTAGACATTTTTGTATTTAATTGAAATGAAGAATGCTAAAATGAAGAAAAACTTTATTGCAAAGAAGACAACACAATTTTTTTCGATTGGTTTTTGTAAATATTTTGACAGGTCTTTTATTTCAAGGTCTACAAAATCGAGTTCTTTTCTATCTACGAAAGACTCTTATATCATGGCTGGAAAGGAGAGAATCTCGCTCTTATACTACAAATAGAAGAGTAATAAAATAAAGTTTAGATAATTTTGTATGCATTTGTTTGAACGTTTAAATTCTTCACTTTTTAGCAAGGATCATTCAGATCAAATCGATCTCTTACCCTTTTGTGATTTGATGAAAGAGAAGAAAAAAAAGTAAAATTGTTGCGGTTTTTGTTTCTGTAAAACATACAGAAAGACAGGAAAGAACAAACATTTTTGCTGTCATGCCACCATCAGTTTCATATGTTCTATATGCTTTTATCAGACATTATTCCTACATATTAGTTTACTTTCTTTTTTTATGTTTCATATGTTATTTGAAACTATTTCTCTTATTCGAATGTATACGTATGTTTATTATACTGAAGGTTGTCGAAACTTGAAAAAGTGAAAGATAACGTAGAAAAGCAATCAAAATGATGGACAATTGTATCTATTTCACAAATTATCTTTTTATCCATCAGTTGAACACTTCGATAGATTATCTCATTTAAAACTTAGATACAACATAGTAGAAAGATGAGGAATTTTGTAAATAGAATAACAGTATAAATATCATCTTGATTCATTCATTACTGTGTACAGAGGTCGATGGAAGTAGGACAACAAGAAATTTAGAATAACTATAACCTAGCTACATAGATATATTTGATACAACTCATCAGAGATTATTATTCAAACAATTTGACTCCACTTAGTAGAGTAGATAGCATTAATTTGAAATAAAGTAAAACATATATATCTATTAAAATATAATAACGGACGGCTCAACACTTACTTTTCAAAATTTAATAAATTTGAGAGTTAGACACTGTATATAATTGACTTTTTAGAAATATTCCGTTTTTTTTTCTCTTTTATTTCGACATAGAAACATGAAAAACTAAATAATGTGTAAAAAGTGTTACTTTTTTTGAAGATAATTAGAAAAAAAGTTGTATGAGTATAAAGAGCGTGGTACAAACGATATTCCTTGATGTGAATGCATTATCGAAAGGAAGAAAAATAACAGGAAAAAAAGTATTAAACTAAAAAATGAAATTATGCCAGATAGAGAAAGGAATATAAATAATTTAAATTTTACATTTTTTAAAGAATGACAAGAGTCCATTATTCATGTGGTTGTTATATAATGAACACTGAAGGCCTAGCCTAAGAATACTGTCAAAGTACGACGTGTAAACATCATAAAGAACTTAAGGCCCACCCCCCACCCAAAAATCCATTTCTGCTTACGAGCATCCGATCTTAATGAAACTTTCAGAGATGGTGTATCTAGGTATGATGACCTCACAGTAAAAATTTCAGCTCGAA